TCAAAAAAAAAAAAAAAAAAAAAAGAATAGCAACTAGAATTACTTTAAGGAAAGAGTTATTCGCAGAACTTCAGAAAATCTGAGTTCCAAGTAAAGGAGATGAGAAGTAGCAAACTGCACCCAATAATTTTTGATAAATTGGTCTGAACCTGTTTCTTCCTGGCAAGTCACAGCGTACAAAGAACTGCTAGGCTTTGCTGAAAACTTCCTTGAAAAAAACACAAGTCCAGGAGGGAGGTAGGACCTACCACACTCCATGTCACTAATGTTTTATTTGGTTTCAGAGACTAGCAATCAAGCATTCGCCTCATACAAAATACTGAGTGCATTGCTAAAGCTCAAGAGACAGAGAGGAGGACCTTCACTAGGCCCTTTAAGGCTCCTGCCATCCTTTCCATGCTCTAATTCTCCTGACTTCTCATCACGATTCCTACAAAGGGGATTTCCTCACAATTACAGAAGTAGTTTTGGGGTACTAGAGAGAAAAGATAATAAAGGTCAATAGAATTGACCTCCTCTAATTAACTAACAAATCCACTAAGAGAGCTTGTTTTTACTTTTTTTTTTTTTCCTTTTACTTATTTTACTTTTTTTTTTTTTTTGAGACAATCTCACTCTGTTGCCCCAGGCTAGAGTGCTTTTGGTTCATAGCTCACAGCAACCTCAAACTCCTGGGTTCAAAAGCAATCCTCTTTCCTCAGCCTCCTGAGTAGATATATTACAGGCATGCTCCACCTACCCAGCTAATTTCTTCTAGTTTTAGTAGAAACAGGTCTCACTCTTCCTCAGGCTGGTCTCATACTCCTAAGCTCAAGGAAATCACCCTCCTTGGCCTCACAGAGTATTAGGATTACAGGCATGAGCCACTGCACCTGACCTGGGTTTTTAGTCTTAAACACATGTCAGTCCTTTAACAAACAATAGTATTCCCTGCTCATATAGACATTCTTTTGTTCACCACCTTTAGGACTTAGAATAATGTCTGTTTCATAGTAGGTGTTCAACAAACATTTATTGGTTAATGATAAATAAATTTAAAGATATAGAATTATTTCCAAAAACATTGGCCATATGATATATTTTCCTGAATGTCTGATATGAATTATAGCAGCCAAAATTTATTTAATGCTTACTGCAGTCCAGCGACTATACTGATCCCTTCATGGGGTTGCCAAACTAAAACAAATGACATGCCACTAAATTTGAATTTTGGATAAACAGCAAATTATTTTTTAGTATAAATATGTCCTGTGAAATACTTGAAAAATACTTCTACTAAAATATTATTATTGTTTATCTGAAATTTGAATTTAACTGGGGTCTTTTATAGATATATTGTTTGGTTTTGGGGGGGTTTTTTTGGAGACAGAGTCTTACTATGTCACCCTTGGTAGAGTGCCAGGGCATCATAGCTCACAGCAACCTCAAACCCTTGGGCTTAAGTGATTCTCTTACCTCAGCCTCCCAAGTAGCTGGAACTACAGGCGCCCACCACAACACCTGGCTATGCCTGTCTATTTTTTTGTTGTTTCAGTTGTCATTGTTGTTTAGCAGGCCCATGCTGGGTTCAAACCCACTAGCCTGGGTGTATGTGGTTGGTGCCCTAACCACTGAACCACAGGCGCCGAGCCTGGGGTCTTATACTTGAACTTGCTGTGTCCAGCAACACTGCGTATCTTATCTCATTTAATCCTCACAACAACCTGTAAGATGAGTATTGTTTCAACTCTCATTTTACAGGATAGGATACTAAGGTTCAGAGAAATTGAGACATTTGCCCTATTTTGCAGTATCTAACAAAAATTTAAATGCCCACACACTTTTATGCAGATATACTATTTTTTTAATTAAGTCATAGTTATGCACATTAATACTATCATGGGTACAGTGTGTTAGTTCCATATACAATTTGAAACATTCTCATCCAATTGGCCAACATAGCCTTCA